GTCTATTTTCGTCTGAAATTGAAAATAGATGAAAATAGGGCCCCATACCAGTCTGTTAGGCCAAAACAGACACGTATGGGCCTCCATACTCATCTGGCCTTGTGAACTAGGCAAATATAGGCCCCCATATTCGTCTGGTATATCGGCTAGACGAATATGGGCTTTCTATATTCGTCTAGTAGGTGGACCAGACAAATAGTGTCCACTATAACCAGACGAATATGGTCCCCCACAAGACCAAACAAGTATGGGCCCTATTTTGGGGTCCACCCACTACCCAACCTCTTTTTTCGCTTATTTCCACCTCCTACTCCCCCTAAAAAACACTATACTCCCTCTTTTAGTTCACTACCTCTATTTTCACCCTCTTCTTCAATTTTATTCTTTTAGTTTCAGCTCCAAACTCCATTTCCCCAACCTTCAATTCCCACCCATTTCTCTAAAACCCCCTAACTTCTCCCCCACCCCCACAACTCCCACCTCTCAACCCCCCCATTTTGATCTCCCCCACACCCACACACATTCCCCCCACCGTAACTCCCACACATCGGTGCCCCTACACCACCCTAGCCCCCCCGTGGCTCCTCTGTAACCCCCACAATCATGGCCCCTGTGGTTCCCCCCTCCCGTAAACCCCCACTCCTATGGTTTCCCCCTAACCCCACCCCCAACCTCCGTCCCTAACACCCTTCCCCCAACGTGTCCTACCAACCCTGACGCCTATGTCCCCCCTCCCCCAACATTCCCCCCAACCTTCAATTGCTCCCCTTAACACAGCAGCTCCCCTTTTGCCAATTGAAGGTCAACTCCTCTCCCTCATTTCACATTTTCTTTATCTCTTTCTTCTTTTTTTTTACTCACATTTTGTTTCCTTGTGTGTTTCCCGCTCATGTGGGTAGTTTGCAGCTCTCCCTCATTTTTCATTCTTCACTTCATAGGTAAATTAGATATCTTTTTAAGGATTAATTGATCGTATATATTGTTTATGTTGCTGTTTGATGAACCTGTTGGAATTAGGAGGCTTGTGATTGTATTGTAATTTAGATTTTTGATGAAATGCATATGTATAACCAATGGAATGGAATTGAGTTTTTGATTTTATATTATTTAGTTTTTTTGTTTTCATTATATCCATGAATTATGAAGAAGGAGTGGTTTTAAATATTTTGTTGTAGTAGCTATGGTGTTTGATGAAATGGTTGTCTGTGTGAATTATATGAATTTGTGCTAGAAACAATTAATAATGATTAGATTAAATAAATTGGTGAGTTTAAATAGAAAAATACATCTTTTATTTATTGCAAAAAAAATGCTTGGATGATAAATTTTATTTGTGAAAATGAATAAAATTTGCTTATGGTAGCATACAAAATTTCATAAGTGCCAAATTGTTCGTCTTTAGATAAATCATCATGCAAACATTATCAATATTATTAATACATAAAATAAATGTTTATGTTAAAATACTGACTATGTAATTAATAAAATTTATCTCTTGTAAAAGGTTTTAATTTATGTTCCTTATTTGTAAATTTTTTAAATTGCTTAATTTGCAAGATTAAATTGTTGAAATTAGTTGAGTTGCTTTAATTTTCTTGGAATTGAGCTGAATGGAATTAATGTATTGTTGATTTTTGGTCTTGAATTAAATTAAAATTTTTAGGATTACTTATATATTAACAAAATGGATCGTAGTTGGATGAGTGCTTTGAGAACATCGAAGGAGTATGAGAATGGGGTAGAAGAATTCATTGAATTTACTAAAATTTATTAAGCGTAAGTATATGATGTTGTCTATGATGATTTCGGGACCAAAACAGCCCAGGAACAATATCAACGTCTACTTAGCACCTTTGATTAAAGACTTGAAGAAATTGTGGAAGGAAGGTGTGGATGTGTTTGATGCACATAAGCAAGTTTCTTTTAAGCTGCATGCAATTATCTTCACGACGATAAATGACTTTCCTGCCTATAGAAACTTGTCAGGATGTAGTATAAAGGGACATAAAGTGTGTCCTATATGTGAAGCGGACACATAATACCACCAACTTAAGCATGCAAGGAAAACAGTTTATCTTGGTCATAGGAGGTTTATTGATCGGTTCCACTCACACTATAGATTAAAAAAGGTTTTTAAGGTTCACTAGAACATGGATTAGCTCCGAAGCCATTAACTAGAGAGGAAATTTATTGTAAGGTGGAAAGAATTGATGTCATGTTTGGTAAGAATAAGAGGATTGTAGGTAAGAAGAACATTTGGAAAAAGAGGTCCATATTCTTTGATCTTTCATATTGGTATAATCTTGATGTTAGACATAGTTTTGATATGATGCATGTGGAGAAAAACGTTTGTGATAGCCTTATTGGTACTCTTTTGCACATATCAGGAAAAACTAAGGATGGAATCAATGCGAGACAAGACTTGGCTGAAATGGGAATAAGAGAATGGTTACATCTGCAACTAAAAGAGGGTGGTAAGAGGGCTTATTTGGAGCCAACAGCACACACATTATTGAAAGCAGAGAAAACTAGCTTGTACTGATGTTTGCATAACATTAAGGTGCCACAAGGTTATTCTTTAAATGTGAAAAAGCTTGTCTCGATGGATGATTTGAAGTTAGTTGGAATGAAATCTCATGATTACCATGTATTGATGTAGCAACTATTACCACTAGCTATTCGAGGTATTATGAAAGATGATGTGAGAAACACGATAACTAGACTGTGTATTTTTTTCAATGCTATCTGCAGTAAAGTCATTAACACAGAGAAGTTAGATGAATTGAAAAATGAGGGGTATGTTATTCTGTGTTAGCTAGAAATGTATTTTCCTCTAGTATTTTTTGATATCATGGTACATTTGATAGTGTATTTAGTAAGAGAGGTGAGGCTCTATGGCCCTGTATATCCATTTCAGAGATATATATGAAAGTCTTAAAAGATTATTCTAAGAATTCTTATCGACCTAAGGTATCAATTGTTGAAGGATATGCAGCTAAAGAGGCCATGGACTTTTGCAAAGGACACCTATCTGGGGTGGAAGCACAAGCTCGACATGACGATGGGATAGGTAAGGGAACTTGAGGGCTCAAAGTGAAAAGCATTGGCCATGAGGAACTATTCCAAGTGCACTTATACATTTCAAATAATATGAAAGAAATTCAACCGTACTTAGATAACCATAAGTAGATCTCAAAGGAAAAATATCCAAAGAAAAGCAATAGACAAAGAGCTAATGAGCATAACAAGACATTTATTGTATGGTTTAAGGAGCAGGTTTGGGGGGAGACAAATGTTTTTAACACAATAAAATGGTTAGCTTGGGGGCTTTGATTTGACGTCATCATTTGGAGTGGATATGATATAAATGGGTATTCCTTCTACATAAAAGCTCAAGACGAGAAAAGTACTGTGCAAAACAGTAGGGTAATTGTAATATCCCAAATTTTATAGATTTAAGCAAAGTGGAGAAAATTTTAGAGAAATTGTTGAGATTAAGACTCTTAAAATATGTTCTAAATAATTATAAAGTTAATTTCAGCAATTTAGGAGCTATTTTCCTGGAAAATTCAAGGAAAAATAGTTAAAGGATAATTTTTGAGCTGAGATTTTTAAGATAATTATTTTTTGGGACTAAAGAACCTAATAGAAAGAAAAAAAATTGATATAAATATCCAGGTTTGATTTATGGAATTATTTGATTATCCCAAAAAAATAAAGAAGGATTAAATTAAAAGAAAATGAAGACCAAAGGGCATGATGGTTATTTCACATCCCTTGTTCTTTTTAATCTGCCAAAAACACCTTCTCCCTTCTCATTCTCCTCTGCTGCCGACTTGAATAAAAAGGAGAAGGAACAAAGAGAGCTTGAAAGGGCGAAAGGAAGACGATGCATCACAAGCTACCGGAGAAAGAATCAGATGTGTTTTTCTTGCATGTAAGCGTGCTTTCTGATTAAGGTGAGTCCTTTAGGCCTTCCTCTATCCTTGTTTTCTTTGATTAGGACTATATGGGAATGAAAGAAGCAAATGAAAATCCAGCCCTAGGGAGAGAAATTCAAGAATCGCATGAAAGCTTTGATCGAAGCATAATATGGGAGTTGTGTGAGAGTGTTCTTGCACTTGTATGCTGCTGTTTGTGTTTTTTCTTTTCCTTTGGTACTTGATTGTCGAAATAGGGGATAGGTGATTTAGGGGGTTAACTTCGGACTCTTCTTTTCTTTGTGTATAAGGTTGAATATTGATGGTATTGAAGAGAGATTTTGTGACCCACATATATATGAAAGTACGTTTGGGTTTGTTCTATTTTAATGCCAGTTTTAAAGATGTTTTTAGCCCAATATCTCCATTCTTTTAACCTGATAGCATGAGTTCCATATTTGAAAGGTGAATGAAAAGTAAATACATAAGCTCTGTGTGTGTGTGTGTGTAACAAGTTACTGAAGCATTGGGAGAAAGAAGTTGACTTGGAATTGAGCTGTCTATATTCTCTTTTAGTTTTGGCTCCATGTTTGGAATTACAGTGAACAGATTTTCTTGGGGTTAAAATGGAAAAGTGAAGGCCGTGAGATTTAATGGAAAGTGATTATTCTTTAAATCTAGAATTTTAATAAGAGGAGGAATTGTTGAATTTGGGAACCAAAATTTGATTTGAAGTTTATTGTTTTATGTTCTCAAATGCTGAATATTATTCTAGTTAGTGGACCAACCTTATTGTGAACAATGATTAAATTTTATTACAGTAAAATGAGAATTTTAGAGGGGCAAAAGATATCCATATATTGCGAAGTGGAGGAATGATGTCAATATTGGGATGTGGCAGCTGAAATTAAATCACTAGGTGATGATTTAATTATGTATAAATGGGGAAGTATTTTCGGTCAAGTAGGTTCAAGGGAAAATGTAATCTTAAACTAGGGGACGAATAGGATGATGTTGATAAAGCTGGAATTTTATAAAAGTATGAAAAAAATATTGTTGCTGTTACAAATTTTAAGGACCTTGAATATTCAAGGTTGCTGAATTATTTTTGAAGACTAGGAATAAATGATCTAGATATATATATTAATCTGTCCTTGCCTATATAATTTATAAGATTTGATATTTGTTTGAATCCATTAAGAAGGGAGCCAAGGAAGAAGCAAGGGGAAGTTAGTACGGAAGAAAAAGCAAAAGGTAGTAACTCTTTTCCTTTAATGTGATTGTGCATTGATTGCCACATGCTTGGATGTGCTTTTATGCTGATTATGAATGAGAACATGTAAGTTGCCTTTGCATGATAATATTTGTGATGACAATATGCGCTGGTTTCCATTTATTGTGGAATGTGGGCACGATAGATAGCGATTAGCTATATGGGTGTATGATATATGTGCATCATTTATTATATTTAGATGCAAGGTGTTGTTTTCTTTGGCCTGTGTAGCCTGTTGTTTGTGATCTTGTATGATTACATAAAGGAAATTTGTTGCCACTGAGATTCTCTAGAATCTCACCCCTTCTTCCATGTAACACAGCAAGGGCAAGTACTCCTAAGGGCAAGGGAGTTGTGATTGGGGGAGCTTGAAGGTGCAAGAAGCTGAAGATTTTTTTTATATATATTTTGCTTAAAATGCATCTTATTTTGGAGTGAAGATAAATTGTATATTTATTTTGATATGTAAATATTCCTCCATAAGGAGATGACTAAGGGCGGATAAACCATAATAACTGCTATTAAAGGATATGATCAATATTTTGATATATAGTTATCATTTTGCCAAAAATTATGTGTATCTCTATATATAACCTGTTGTATGAGCCTATGGCTAGAGTATTGAATGTTAAACCCTACTGGCTATAGTTGATTTAATATAGGATTCAAAAGGTTGAATGGAAAAAGAATGGGTTCGATGGTTGAATACGAATCATGGGTCTTAGACGGTTTTTACCCTTTTTGTAAAAGGGTCAAATCGGGTCTTCAACCACTAGACATGTTACTTTGAAAGTGAGTTTTTGAAAAGTTTAAATTTTTTAGAAAATCCCATCCCTTAAATAGGATTAGACTTTGTGTTTAGGAATCGTTAAAAAAAAATTGCATTTCCCAGGATTGAAACCTGGCTTTTAATGATTCAAGATTAAATAGAATAATTCTATTAGTGTATAAGGGATAGTCGTTATAGTAATAGTAGTAGCTGAAGCGATGTATTTCTCTAGCGCCAACGATAAAAATCCTAAATTGGCATCCATAGCCTATTATGCTATTATTAAAGATATATGGGACATCAGTTACACTAACTTCAAGGTTCCTATCTTCAAGTGTAAGTGGGTCAACAATAATGGTGTTCAAATAGATCAAAAATTTAGATTTACCTTAATTGATCTTCATAGAGTTGGTTATACAGATGAACCACTTATTTTAGCAAGCCAAGCAAAACAAGTATTTTATGTCACCAATCCTGCAAATACCAAATTGTCAATTGTACTTCAAGGTAAAAATAAAATGACAGTGATCCAACTTTGAACATTAATGAGACACCACCTTTCACTACAAATCCACCTTCATCGAATGAAGTAGAATTGGTAGATGATGATGAATATGCTGCTAGAGATGATCACTATGAAGGAATATGGGAAAATACATAATGTAAGACCATAACAAAAAAGTTATGCACTATAATAGAATTTTGTGTTTACTTTTGTTAATTTTTTCATTGATTTTATTATAATTGACTCACCTGTTTCACTCTGGTTTACTAACAAGACATGGAGGATAATGATAGAAACATAGATGATTCTGGTGAAGATCAAGTGAACGATAAACCTATTAGAAAAAGGGGTAGAGGCACCACAAGAATGCCAAAGCTAGCAGTATGTTATGGGCACATTCTAAGGAAGCATGTCGACTTTGATGATGATATGAATCTAGTTGGTCCAGAGCTAGATAAGTTCATAAGCTACGTAGGCCGTCTGGCTCAAAGCAAAGTGAACATTCTGTATTCTAACTAGAAAGAAGTACTACCTAAACCAAAGGATGCGATTTGGCAAGATATGTTGGTATGTAACTTTTTGATCTTTATACTTTTAAATAATAGTTCTTACTATTAAATATTCTAATTTCATTCATTACGCATAAACTTTGTAGCAAACCTATGATATCTCTTTCATTGTTGAAATGAAAAAGCATTGGCTAGACCAAGTACACGAGTGATAGAAAGATTTTAAGACAATTCTTACTCGTATTTACATTCGAGGGGCAAAAAAGGATGAAAACCCATGTGATATTTACTCATTTGTTGACGAAGAAACTTGGAGAAAATTTGTGGTGTCATGGCTAGATCTTGAATTTCAGGTAAATTTCTACTTAATGAATATGTCCATATAAACTAGTTTCATTTCATTGAACTAACTTCATTTTTTTTGTTTTTTGTAGAAATTAAGTGCTCAAAATAAAGACAAACAATCCAAAAATTTATACCAAAATTACATGTCTCATGAGGGTTACAAAAAGGCACAATAAGAGATCATGGAAGCTGATTTCAAAAGAATACAAGAAGCTGCAAAATTAGACCCCAGCATTATTGTTCAAGCCCCCCTCCTCCTTCTCGACATAGAACATAGAAGCATATAAGGATGAAGAAAGGTAAATATATCAATAAGATTGTTACTAACATTGCTGGAAAAATTATAGGTAGTTAAATTAAAACAATTAAAATAGTGTACACATTATGCTAAAATTGTAATTACTTTTCATTTATCACTTGTACGTTGTAGGATGCACTTGAAGAGCAGAGCAGTGAAGGTTCTTTTACTCCAAGTAGAAAGATGGACATCCTGGCAACTGTAACTGGAAAGTTAGACCATCCTAGTCGAGTGAGAGGGTTATTAAAGACAGTCGATTTAACCCAATTCTTTGGTTCCAGTTCAGAAAGTTTTACGGGAAGAAGTGTCCCAAGTGCTGATCTGATGGACAAAGTTTGAGAACAAGTTCGCCAAGAGATTATACAAGTGATGAGATTCGTCAATTCTTCGAAACTGAGCTTATGTCTGAGATTCATGAGGAGATGCGATCTTTGGTCTCAAGCATACAAATTGGGTAATTTCAACCACAAGAACGTACACCTCAGGTATATAATTAATCATAACTTAATTAATTTGTTTTGAAGTTTGCCAACATTGTTTTCATTTAATTCCATTCTTTTATTTGTACCATGTACTCAGAATTCTCCAGCCTATGGAAGCATAAAAAGGAGCTTTAATCCACAAGTGCCGTCAGCTCTGTTTGACCCTAGTCTCAAGCCAAATAATGGAGAGCCTTGTGTTCTCTATTTAGATGACCTAAATATTCATATTGTTGCCAATGCCATTAAATATACGCAAGGGTCTAAAATTCATAATCAAAAAATTCTAGCGGACTCGATCAAGGTGACGGTTACGGCTGTTTGAGAGGATGAGGTGGATGTAGACGTGCCATTCCCCAGTGACGAGGTTGGCAAGCTAGGCCAAGCAAAAGGATATTTTATTTTATGGCCTAAAAGACTCATTGACGTCATATCTCTAATAGTACAAAACATGCTAGGATTTTCTAGTTTCTCTTTCATATACTACTTATGTTACTTATCTTTATTCTATCTTTCTATTAGGATGTTAAAGATGCTACTAAATTTTCCTGTTTAGCACAACTGCATGACATTTATGAATCAGTTAACAAAGTCAATATACAAATGCCTATTGGGATTGTGATGGAGCAAACGACATATCATTTTGGATTGGACCAGAAGGATCTCAAGGACTTTCTATCCCCAGATCAGCTAGACATTGCATAGATTCAACTGGCAATAATGTGATTTTATTTTATGAATTACATTTTCTAATTGCTCATTTTTTACTTATATGTATGAGCTAATTTTTGTTTCATATCAAATTGATGATAGCTATTTTCACAACTTGTGCACTTCTATGGGAAAGGGACATTTATATGGATTCATGTGTCTAGCCGCTTTGCAACCTTTGAAGAATACCATTGATAGGTGGATGAGATACGTGAATAATACCATTAGAGACACTCACTTACCTTGTTATTTTGTTCCAATCATTGAAAAGTAAGTAGCTTATATCTATATTTGGATATTTATATATATGTGATTTCCACAGAATCTTTACTGGTTTCTTTTCTTTTTATATTTCAGTGAACATTGGTTGTTGTGCATTCCTTGCCCTAGAAATAATGTCATTTACGGTTTGATTCACTGTGTCATCTCCCAAGCGGCAAATGAAATATATCTTCAACACGTAAGTTTTGTCATTATATATTTAGTTTTTCTACTTCATTAAGTTGTTCTAATCTCTGGTCATTTCTATTTGGTCATTGGTCTTTCAAAACATATTATATACAAGGAGGGAAGGGCAAGGGAAAAAATGGCAAGATTGTTTGGCACAAACCAAAATTAAGAACATTTTCAATTCTTTAATATCATCAACTATATATATATACATATTCATCTTTCTTACTCACTTTGATTTTATAGTGTTATCTACAACCAGGAAGTACAGAGTGCAGATATTATATTATCCGTTTCATATGCGAAATTATTGAGTCTGAATGTATCAAAAATTTTGAGATGATAATAATAAGTTTAATTATGATTATTTGCTTTTTTTATTGAATTGTTGTTTTTCTTTAATTCTCTTATTTTGATTTGACTCTACTGAATTACTGTTATTTTGGTTGAATTGCTTGCATTTTGTCTATTTTGGTTCTATCTTTTAGGGTTTTCTATAAAAAAAACGGGTAATTTTGCATAAAGAAAACATTTTTTTTGAAAACATATATTTGTCTAGTCAGAGGTTGAACAAACAAATATGAGGTCATCATATTTGTCTGTTCATCAGAACAGATACGAGGCTTCATCAGAGCAGATGAATATTATGTAATCATATTCATTTGTTCTAATGAACAAATGAATATTCTATACTATATTCATTTGTTTTGAACAGATGAATATCTAACTTCTATCTATGTTTCCTTTGTCCACATCCCCTTTTAAACAAACGAAAAAAAGCCTCTAGAACAGATGAAAATGATCTTTTTTTAATAGTGTTACTAATCCCAATAATTAATAATTAAAAAAAAACAATGAAACAAATTATTTAAAAAGAGGATGAATTGAGAATAAGAGAGAAAAGGAAAAGATAATTAGTTATGAGAATAAACCCATCACTTAAAACATTGGGATTCAGGATTCACCATATAGGTAGCTAGTTTCTATCCTTTAAGTTGATTTTTTTTATTCAATTATAGTGATAGCTATTCCTAAAGTTTCATAATATTTGTCTCACTTATTAGTCCCTTTTTAATTAGTGTTGAATTCATTCCCACAATACACAAATAACTAAGTAAACCATGAAGTTATAGTTTAAGTCATCACAAATATCTAGAACTATCTTTAGCCTAAATACTTGTGTCCATCTCTCTAGATCTAGGTTCTATCTTCACCTCCTAATCTATCAAGATTACCCACGGATTTTATGTAATGGTCAATCATAAAATCAACATGAAAAACAAGAGAAATAGATATAATTGAAAAAACTAAAATATGTT